AAAAAAAAAAAAAAAAAAAAACCGCCGTACCCTCTAATTATCTACGAAACAGAGAACAACGCCACACGTCCAACGAAACCTCATCATCATGTCCGAAATAAAGACAGCAAACGGAAAAAGCTGGTAGCTGTGCATATCTTACAGTAAATTATCGTATGAGCCTCGTTCCAGTACACAAAACTTTACATGTATCTGGACCTCATAATCGGGCCGATACATTCAAAATGTCAGACTCCAACAAAAAGCACCTGGTCCAGAAACGCTCCCAAATGCATGTGAATGTTGAGTAGTGGAGCCAGGCCCTATATGTGCGTACGAGACACAGGCATATGAATAGCAGAAGCAGCAGGCAGGAAACAAAAAAAAAAAAAAAAAAAAAAAAAAAAAAAAAAAATAAGAAAAAAAAATTAATTTAAAAAAAAAAAAAAAAAAAAAAAAAAACCAACAACCTCATCTTATCCAGATAATTGGCCCCGGTGGACGAAAGTCTACCGCAACCAACGTACATTGTTTTCATTCTTTTCTTTTCCCTTTACATGAAGAACTTTCTAATAAAGAACTTTCTGGCAAAGAATCAGCATACTGCTCCCAGGAATACACGGCAGCAATTTTTATTTTTATTTTCAACCAAAAAAAAAACTACGTCGAAACCCATGGTATCACAAGTCACGTAGAGGTTAGGAAATTAGCAAACAGTGAGCCAGTGCAAACTACTACATTTTTTTACCTCAGTGAACCATTGTCCCACCAGTAAACCAGTGAACCACCAATGAACCATCAGTGAAACATCAGTGTACCACTAGTGAACCACCAGTGAACCAGAGACCCAGTGCAAACTCTGTGGAACCAATTCAAACTACTGGAAATTATTATGTTAAGGCTTATGCAGCTTGCTTCCAAGGGGGTCTGCTACTACAAGGTCAGTGCTCACTCTGTGTGTCCAACAGATTGCTCATCTCTGCTTCCACAGTCAGAAAGCCTACCCGCAACCAGCACAACATAATCTACTGCAAATGTGCTGCCAAGTAGTAAGAGTGTGCAGCAGATTAATCATCTATAGTTCCACAATCAGGGTGATTAGCAAGCAACCCGTGCAATAATCTACAATAAATGTACTACTAAGTACCAAGGATTATGCACCAGAGCAACAATCCACTGCAGATGTAGTCGCAAGGCTTTTGCACCGAGTACATCTGCAGTCTACTACAAATGCTACCAAGCAGTAAGAGGCTAACGCGCAGCTTGCTTCCACTGCGGCATGCTATGCGACTCTACAAGGGCAGGGCAAAGCCCACTCCGACTCCGTGCCTGCAGCAGATGGTTGATTGATTAATCATTATCTGCTCGCTCCGTAGTCCGGGGTTGGCCAATCCACATATAGTAGGGCGCTCTCAGCAAGGGCACATAAGGTATGGACCCCACGCTGTTGATTTCTGCTATTCGACGAAGTCGAAGATCAAGGAACTGGCGTCGTTCCGGTCCCACATCGATGTTATCTAAGTCGAAAATGATTCTCCAGAACCAGCGAGTCATCATGCCATGCTGGCGCGGCCTGAGGTCGTACTTCGACGACGTGTAGAAATCTGCCACCCCGAGCAGCCCCTCCTTCTGATCAAGATACGAGAGTGCCTTGTCCACAGCTTTCATGAAGGGAGGGATCATTGACAGGGAATAGGAGAAGGTGACTAGCTTGGCCTTAACGTTGGGAGGAGGGGAGAACTCGCAGGCATCCCCCTCCACCACCTCCACATTTCGCCAGCCTTTGGACGCCACTCGTTGCCGCGCAACCTCGCACAGCGCGCCGCACATGTCCACTATTATGATCTTGCTGAACAATTGCAGGTCCATGTAGTCGGACATGATCTCCACATTCTCCGCCGTCCCTCCGCCGAGATCGACCCATACCAAGTCCTCCCCACGTGTCTCCCCTCGTTCCTGCTGCAGCCGGGAGGCGCAAGCTGACAACAACGGTCGGCGACCGTGCAGAAAATTGCCGCGAAAATGGTCGTACGCTTGCGCCTGCGGACCATAGAACGACTCCAATCGCTCCTTGTGCGTGTCCCCCTTTATTCTTCTGAACCATATCGATGACAGCACCTGCATGTCAAACCATATTCCCTGCAAATAGACCATTCTTCTGCACTTCCTCGCTCCTTCTCCCGCTCGATTTGTCACTTCTCCCGCTCGATTTTCCACTTCTCCCGGGGGCAAGGTCCCACTTGCACGGATTAAGAGATTCTGACCGTTGATCCTTGCTATCCACGGTCAATATCACTTAGTTCGTGTAAGTGGGACCTAGCCCCCGCTCGATTTTTCACTCTCTTCTATGCCTACCCCGCTCTTCTGCCACTTCCTCCTCCGCCGTCCTGCCGCGCGATCGATTACTTTTCACTCGCTTCTTTGCCTTTCCCCGCTCGTCTGCAAACTCCTCCACCTTCTGCAGCTAGCGCGATTTTTCAGTTGCTATGCCTTTTTTCCCGCTCTTTTGCGGCTCTTCTTTTCACTCTGCCTTTCCCGCGCTTTTGCCGCACGATATTTTCCAATCTCTCTCTGCCTTCCCCCGCTCTTCTGCACTGCGTCCGCCTTTTCTGCCGCGCGATTTTTTCACTCGCTATGCGTTTCCCGCTCGTTTGCAGCTCCACTTCTCTCCGCCTTTCCCGCGCTTTTGCCGCTGTACTTTTCACTTCCCGCCCTTCTGCACCTCCTCCACCTTCTGCCGCTCTACTATTCACTCTGCATTTCCCGCTCTTCTGCACCTCTCCCGCTCTTCTGCACCTCTCCCGTTCTTTTGGACCTATCTCAACATTCCGCCGCTCTACTTTTCACTCTACCTCTCCCGCGCTTCTGAACTTCTCCCGCTCTTCCGCACCTACCTCAACATTCTACCTTAGAATTACATGTCAACCTTCTCCGGCAGCTCCCCGCTTGGCTGCCACGTGGCCCCACTGCTAGCACTGCTCCGCTCTAGCCTGGATCCTATACACACTAACGAATTTTACATATGCGCTACCTCTAGTTTCTGCCTTCTACCTGGTATGTGACAGCCTCTCATCTCCTCATTTCCTCATTCCAGTACCGCTCCCTCCCTGTTGCCGCCTTCCTCTTCTCTCCCAATTTAGTCTTTCTTTTCCTCTCTGTCATCAGTTGCCTGCCCTGTTCGCTCTTCCTTCCCCCTGCCAGGCTGCCACTGGAACTGGAAGCCGACCTACCTCCTCCTCCTCCTCCTCACCGTGACCGTGACTGTGACCGTGACCGTGACCGCTAGATCCTCCCCGGGCCTGGCAAAGACAGTAATCGCCCCCAGGACTTAGAGCAAGCGTTGCTGTCGCCAGCGAAAATATTCGGGGGAGTTCAGTGCATAGCCGTCATACGTCCGTCGGGACATCGGTTAAAATTGGAACGGTACAGAGAAGATTAGCATGGCCCCTGTGCAAGGATGACGCGCATATCCGTCATACACAACGACCTGGAGGGCGAGGAGTGCGCGACAACACTCTACCGGTAGATGTCACGCAACAGATGTCACATCACCCTCTTCGGTTTGAATGCGTACCGCCGAGATTGCGCCCCCCTCCGCTACTCACCACATGTACAAAAGACAAAAAGGATGACGGTGTATCTTCCCATATTCTAGGCGAAGATTCATTTTCAGTTTGCACATTTGGTCAGTAGCTCCACTACCCACGACATGAACAAAAGACAAAAAATATGACGGTGTATCTTTCCATATTCTAGAGGAAAATTCGTTCTCATTTTGCTGATTTGGTGAGTAGCGGGGAACGCCCATTGTCATCAGCAATTGAGGACTTACTACGGGTAGCGGTCGATCAGATTGTGGACGATTGGTATCACCCACAGACATTTCGTCGAGCTTCGTCACCACATGCACAGATGACAAAAATTATAGCGGTGTGAAAAGAAAAAAAAATAATAAATAATAATAATAAATAAGTAAGTAAAAATAAAAATAAAAAATAAAAAATTATAGTGTTTAGCGAAAGATTCATTCTTGTTTTTAAAAGTTTCGCGAGTTGTCCCGAGCGAGGCCCCAAGGATACCCACGCCCTCACAAGGAATCTGCAAGGGAGCACAGGGAATCCTTTTTTTTTTCTTCAGACAATCACATACACAGGTCTGAACAGGTAAATAAGGAAAAAGAAACTCCCTAGATGATGCCAGATTGCCAGATTGCACAGAAGTGAGTCGTAGAAGTGGGCGGCAGGCCCACACACAACGGGAAACTCGAGGGCGGGCGGGACCGCTTCACCAAATCAAGGCGAGGGAAAGGACTCGACCTCTGAAAAGACCTGACCCTTGTGTGGCATCCGGGCAGGTTCGCGTTCGCAATGAATGCTGCGAGCAATCGAGGCCTCGAAGGCGCAGGTTGGGAGAGCGCTCAAGCTATCGTGGCTGGGCAGGCACCTGTGACTTATACTGTCACAGGTCAAGGCAGCGGGACCGGATGGGCCAGCGAGGCCATGCTCCAACCTGGGTAAGTTGTCACATCAAGATAAGATGACCGTAGATACTGAGTAGATGTGTGGTTGCCATGGATGAAAAAATACCCAAAATGTTGAGTGCCTTAGATTTTGCAGATCCATGCTTCTGGATTAAAGTCCCAAATAAAATTGCTTGTGGTACTGAGTCCCAACCGCCGGTCTTGTTACTTCTGTTGATGGGGCCGAGGATTATTGCATGAAAGGAACCGGTCCGTCTGTCTTGCGCGCAACCAGGTGCAAGGTTCTTGGCATAATGCTACACAGGTCTGCTCCAGGTAAATAAGGAAAAAGAAACTATGTAGATGATGCCAGATCGCACAGAAGTGAGTCGTGGAAGTGGGCCGCAGGCCCGCACACCTCCTAGAACCGCCCAACTCCCTCCATCGTCCCGCAAGTGACGTCGTCCTCTTACAGGGAATGGTGGAGCGAACGCCTGAGCGATGGTGGTTGGAGGCAAAAGCGGAGTACTCCTGACTTTGAAGGTGGATACGAGGCAGGACTTGAGTGGAGCAGTGCCTTGGTTGGAGAGTACGGGGCCGGATAACGATGGAGAGGTGGAATGAAGAAGTTTCTTCTTGCCTTGAATGAGTGGTTGGAGCGCAACAATGTTGGAAGAGATTGTATGAGCTGCAATGATTTGGATGTTCTGTCGTTCATGAGCAGCCAATGGCTCGTCGAGGTAGAGAGTCGGTGCCGAACTTCCAATGCTGAAGGATTGTCGTTTGTGTCACCATCGACCGTTGATGCGGTCGTGAACTGCTTGAGCGCGAGCTTCCTGTTGCTTGGGAAAGATGGCGAAGGAGATCTATGTCATTGTAGCAGGGTGAAATCGTTCCGCAAAGCGTATCGGGAGTATTCCTTCCGAAGAGGTGTCATTGAGGAATCTGCACGACCCCTGAGGTGGTTGAAGTTAAAACGGGTGTTGGAAGGTGAAAGTACTGAAAGGTTATCATGAAGCTCAGGTGTATAGAGATGGGGGGGCGTTCCTATATCTGTGGGAGAGTTGGCAGCGATGCGGGGAAGGATTGAGATTGCAGTACAAGGAAATTAACTTTGAGCAGAGAGTTGTGCGGCTAGGATACACTAAGACTGACCGTCATGGAGGGAGATTTATGATAAGACTGCGAGACCCACAAGGCGGGGAAGAGACCTTTCTAGGTTGGTTTCCCGAGCTGCTGGGTAGTTATGATCGGTTAGGGCAGGATATAAGGAGGGGATATTTATTTCGGTCAATGCGAGGTGATGGTCCTATGAGTGGGGGCGGATTTAATAAGCGCATAGAAAGGTGGTTTGAGGAGGCAAGAGTTTATGAAGGAGACAGCGGTCACAGTTTTCGAATAGGGGGGGTTCAGGCAGGGATAGAGGAGGGGTGGAGTCTGGGTGAGATGATGCGTCAGGGTTCGTGGAGTGGCGTTGGGACATTCATGAGGCATGAATATGGGATACGTCACGGATGAAAAAGGAGGAACGAAGGGACTTCAGGTCAAAAAAAAAATTGTTGTGAGACCGATAATTGCGGGGCTAGGGGTACTAAAGTGCGCCCTCGGGCTGGGGAGGCAGGACAATTTGAACTCGGGTATGGTGAAACGGTGGGTAATATTGAGGGAGAGGATGCGGGGATACCAGGAGGTACGTTGTGATGAAGGTAAAATGAGGAGATAAAGAGTTGGGCTTGCGAGTGCTTTTGAGAGGGTTTGGTGCAAGAGTGATGTTGGAGGGAAGATCCAATGATAGGGGAGAGATGGAAGGACAGTCCAGTCTAGTGAGAGTGCGTCTATGTGGGATGCTTTGGTTGACAAGTTCCTGGAGACGAAGGTGGGGCAGACATGGTGATAATTTGAAGCGAAAAGATTTATTGCTGGAATGCCTATTTTTGAGAAAATTTCAACCTGTGATCGGTCAATCCCCAATCAGTATTGTCCTCGATTTTGGAAATTGAATCGGTCTTTATATTTAAGGCTATTGGTATTAAGCCAGAACTGAGGAGGGAATCAAAAGTGCGTAGAATTGAGGCGATGCTTTGTAGCCAAGGGTTGAAGGATTCCTCTGCTGATTTCATGCGAAGGAGTAAGGTTGCGGCAACTTGGCTATCGGAGTGAAGTCTGATGGAGGCAGAGTAAAGAAGGTGAGAATGCAAGGAGGCGAGAAATCAGAATGTTTCGAGGATGGCGAACAGTTTTCTATGGGTTGAAGAGGAATCGAGTAGAGATTGAGGCAAGCATTGGTTAAGTGTGATTATGTGTTCATGCATAGGTTGAATTACTGTTGCGATTTGGGTTGCAAAGACGTCAATGAAGATGGATAAGGAAAAGGGGCGGATGATCCAAAGTCTTCCTGGTAGTTGGGTAGGTGATAGATCCACCAAACGAGGTCACTGATAAGATCGTTGGAAATAGGGATGGGTGAGTCTCAATTGGCTGGCAAGATAGCTTCGTAGAAAGAAAAAAGGTAAAGGTGTGTAGGTAAGAAAGCCTTGGAGAGGGAAGCAAGTTTTTCCGCAAGCTTTGCAATTGTTTTGCTGGAAGGATTTGATGAGGACTGGATTAGGTTAATTATTTTATAAATTTTATCCTCAGGAGCCCTTATGCGCTTATAGTGAGAGTCCAAAGTAAATCCAAGGAATCTGATGGATTGGGAAGGTAGGAAAGAGGAATTTGTTGGTGCTAAGAAAAAAAACAAGGTTATGGAGCAGAGCAACATAGTTGAATGATTGTCATAGTAGCAGGGGTAGGTCCCTATTGGCAAGTGCAGAATCATCGATATAGGAAGTGACAAAAACATTACGAACACGTAATTCCGCCATGATTTTTTGCATGAGTGTTGTAAAAATTCAGCAAGTTGAAGATAAACTAAAGCACAGAGTTGTGAAATGGTAGTTGGATCCATTCCACTGAAAAGTTAGATAAGGACGTGATTAGGGGTGAATTAGGATATGGTAGTATCCATTCTCTATATCATAGTATGTTAGGAAATCTTGAATTGAAGATCCTGATAAGTGAGCGGTGACATCATCAATGAACTCATAGTGGAAAAATGAAAAGGTGACAAAACGGTTGACAAAACAAACATCCAGGATGAAACGAGTTTTAGAAAAACTTTTTGTTGCGAAAACAGGATTTACCATAATGAGATTCGGGGATGGCTATGACTCCAGTGGAAAGGAGTTGAGAGACTGAGGAAGAGATAAAATTGATGTTGGGTATAATGAGTGGGGGGGGAGAGCTAAGCTTGCGGGTTTGCTTAAAGCGAGAAGCAGGGAAAGAAGGGAGGAATGACTTGATCATTCTTCCAACCTCCACAATCTTAGTAGTTGGGAATCCTGTGTAATACTTCGTACGACGTACAGGGGGCTTATCGTACGGTCGTACGTACGGCCGTATGTACAGCCCCGTACGGGAAAAAAAAAAAAAAATCGTTTTATTTTTTTTATCTCAAATTTGGTAACGAATTTCAATATGACTCTGAGGCAAAAATGTTTCAGTTTATTTTTCTGCATAACATATATTTTTTCAGATTAAAAATAAAATAAAATTATTTTTTTTCCATACGTACGGCCCGTACTACCACATGAGCCCGTACGTACGGTTGTACGTACGTATGTACGACCCGTATTCGTACGGGGTTCTACATAGGATGGGATGTGGGAAGTGTCATTAAATTGAAGTCTGACTCCGTGGCGTATCCATTGCAGCATGAGTGGGAGTACCTTCTAGAAGATGAAGAAAACAGTACGGACCAGTTGGAGAAATGCTTTGCGGGTGAGGCAGCGAAGAAGTTGTCGGGGTTCCTTAGCCATGATGCATGCTCATTCAATGCATAAGTGGCAAGTCAAAGATCTGTAATTGAGGGAGGTGAAAGAAGATTGGATAGGATGGTAGGTACAAACGGGATAGAAAAGGGAGGAGGGCGATTGAGAGGTTCTGGTGGTGAGCTGGCGGCTGCAGCCGACTCTGGTTAGAATTTGAGTGATATTTCTTGGTGGCTCTGTA